TGACTAAAAATGGCTTAAATCACATAAAGTAATATTTTTTCAATTTTTATCGCAGTTTTTAAAGCCTAATTTACAACCCTGCAAACTAAATGTCGTCACCTCAGCCAAATTAGAAACTAAAGTGGCGTTGATAAAGAGCTAGACTCCTCTTATAACCTGAAAAAAAGTTTGGTGGATAATCTTCCACGGGCGTAATTTTAATCCCCCTTCAGGATTAATTTAATGAGGGGAGTATGGGGGGTGGGGTTAAGATTATAATCCCCAATTATTTCAGTACATTCAACTTTTAAATATTTTAAATATTCAGAAAACAGGTGTTTGGATTAACTACTCGCTAATCACTCCACATTTATTGTGCAGCTTTGCATCCCTAACAAATATATTATTCTATTGCATTTACAGATTAAGTCTAGGAAAAAGACAATGATATAATACAATATAATGATATAGGCTAATATTATGTGATCAATATCAGAAAACTCGAGGAGGGGGTCCTGGGTTCAACTAAACCATTTGAACAAAAGAATTTTTTACAATTCAAGTACTGCTTTGCCAAAGAAAGAAAGAAGTAGATTGATAAGACTTGTTCTCAAATGTCAATTTTCACTTTCCTTGAAATAGTAACGCTGTTTTTTAACAATTTTATCTTCAGATATCGATTTCTGTGAGCAGAACCTCTGCATGAACGGCGGAAGATGTCAAGATCTCGATGGTTTAGGTTTCAGGTGTGATTGTCCTCGGGGGTTTGAGGGGTCCGTATGTCAGCTTCGTTCCCCTTGCATTGATTCCCAGTGTGTTCATGCACACAAGTGTACTCAGTTGGCCACAGTCTCTCATGGTGGTATCAAACACGAGTGTCTCTGTCTTCCGGGTTGGACCGGTGAACTCTGTGACCAAAGTTAGCAAATTAGCTTTTAAATGTTAACATAACTTCTACTTAAATATTTAAGTAAAGCTGATTTAAGATATTAACTTTTGCTGTTGCAGATATTGATGATTGCGTCGATAAATGCCTGAACGGAGGAAGTTGTCACGTTAGTTATATTCAATGAGATTTTTGAGTTATTGTTGAACACTAACTTGAATTACATGTTTTCCAACAGGATTTGGTGGGAGATTATTACTGCACCTGCCCAGAAGGATTTTCCGGTCGCAATTGTGAAATAAATCACAAATGCGTGACTAATCCCTGCAAGAATGATGGTGTTTGTGTAGAAGTGAAAGGTGGATTCAAGTGTGTTTGCCCTGAAGGTGTTACTGGCGATCTATGTGAGGTATGTTAGAAATAGATTCATCAAGCTACTTAATATAATTAGAGTAGACGCTTTCACTTATATTTTTCCTCCAATTAGCACGCAAAACGTGGCTGCGACCCCAATCCTTGTGAGAATAAGGCGTCTTGCTATAACCTCAGTCCACATGAATACTACTGTAAATGCAACGAGGGTTTCTATGGTCGACATTGTGAGCTCACTCGTCCATACTGCGGTCCCGAGGGTTGTACAAGCCTTTTAGATCCATGTGCTGATATCGGCAATTCACTTCACATTCCACTGCTTCCCTCACTGACTCTCAACCATCAGTCATCGACTATTCATACTGAGTCCTGTGGAAAGCATGGCATATGCATGCAAGATCCCTCCTCGGGTCAGTATGCATGTGTTTGTGAAAATGGATACACAGGGAGGTTCTGTCAACAGATCAAGGACAACTGTATGGAAATGGGGCATCTGTGTCGAAATGGCGCGAAATGTGTTAGCGGTGAAGGGGACAATTTCTATTGTTTGTGTGAGGAGGGTTTTACAGGGACGTTCTGTGAGCAGGGTAATTGTGCTTCATCGCATTTGAAAAAACAGTCGATATTAGGCTTAAATAGCTATCTTTCGCTTTTCCTTCAGAATCGCGTCCCTGTGATGGCGAACCATGTCGTAACGGAGCGTATTGTCAATCCACTGAAGGAGTTGGTGATTTCTCATTTCAGTGTCGTTGTGCTTCTGACTGGGCTGGACGGTGGTGTCATTTGCCATCTCCTCGCAGTCCCTGCCAAGTTTCTAAACCATGTCATAACGACGGAGTTTGCGTTGATGACGCTTTGAGTTCTCATGGATTCTTCTGTCAATGTGCAAATGGTTGGACTGGTCTCTTCTGTCAGATACGTAAGACTCCTTATCACTCAACCGGAATTTAATTAGGTTGGGACATCTTAATGTATTCATTTAAACCAAAGGCTGATGAAAAGGTTAGAAGTCGCTGGAGAAACAATGGTTTAAAGGTGGCTTATTAAGTACTAGCACACAGATAAGGCAATCGAAAACCATATGAAAGGATGTTAGGCCTAGAAGATATGCGAAAGATGAAAATACGAACTCTAAACAGTTAAATAAAATAGAATTGAGAATTTTCAAAGGAGAGTATCTAAATTTCTTTAAAAAGATTAGCTGATTAGGTTTAAAATTTTTTCACATTTTTTTAAAATTCTTCATCAACTACATGCATTTTCACCTTTTAGGATCGCCAGACTACGAGTCCTGCGATAACGAAAATTTCTGCAAAGTCGGCGGGACCTGTATCAATGTTGGTGGGGAATCTCATTGTATTTGCCCACCAGGATACATTGGAGATCGATGTGAAGAGGACATCAATGAGTGCCAAAACAATCCATGGTGAGACTTTTTTGCCCTTCAAGTAATCATGAAATTAACCTATCGGGAAATTGAGCCTAGTCCAGTTAGGGCTACGTGAACTAGTTCTCAAAATGCATTATAATAAGGCAAATAACACGGAATTAAGAAAAAAACAAGGCGTTGGTAAATAAAAATCAATATTTGACAGCATGTTCAGTCGAATCCTAGCACACACACACACACACACACACACACACACACAC